CCTATTTATTTATTTATAATTTATTTTTTAGAGAGGGGAAGGGGGAATGAGAGAGGGAGAAGGAGAATCTTAAGCAGACTTCACACCCAGCATCTGAGCCTGCTGCAGGATCTCACAACCCTGAGATCATGTCCAGACTCGGACGCTCAACCAGCTGAGCCACCCAGGCATCCCTCAATCCTGTTCGGTTTTTTTTTTTTTAAGATTGTATGTATGTATGTATGTATGTATGTATGTATGTATGTATGTATTTATTTATTTATTTGACAGAGAGAGAGACAGTGAGAGAGGGAACACAAGCAGGGGGAATGGGAGAGGGAGAAGCAGACTTCCCGCGGAGCAGGGAGCCTGAAACGGGGCTCCATCCCAGGACCTTGGGACTATGACCTGAGCTGAAGGCAGACGCTTAACGACTGAGCCACCCAGGCGCCCCTTAATCCTGTCTTAATACATAAATGATCTCTTTGAATAAGTACTACTTAGACTCTGTGTGTGTGAGGGAGTAGAGAGGAGAAAGTAGGAGTAAAGGATGACAAATGAAATCACATACATAGGCCAACTACCAAAGTTGGCAGCTACGGATCTAAGACAAAGTCGTATTGGATCCTTATATGGGAACTAAGAGATCAAAAGAAGATAGGACAGCTAACTTGAAATCCCAAAGTTTTCAACCAAGTTGAACCTATTGGCAGATGCTAGATTATTAGAATGACCCATGAGCCTAGAAAGCTGAAGAAAGTTTTCTCATTGAAAAAAAAAGACATGCTGCTTAGGGGAAATGAGTAGAAAGAACCGGGTATCACACATACTAGTGAGTAGCTAGTGAAATAAAATGGTTGAGTGTTCATATATCTTATCTTAGATGTATACAAGACCGTTATTTCTCTTATCTGTCAGGAGATATACATTTAGTTACAGTATTAAAAACAAAGAAAAGATTGCGCTTCTAATAGAAAAGCATATCTTATCAGCTACAGAATTACACGGAGTCACCCATTTCTTATACAGATATTGACTTACGCTCCCCACCGTAATATTTGATAAATGAAAACAAACATTTATTAAGCACATACCACATGTAAAGAAGTCCGCCAAGGACAGACAAAGATGGCTAAAAGAATACCTGAGCTCACAGTTCAGGGGATACTAAAAGGAGAAAGTGATGGGTCATAGAAGGAAGGGAGGGAAATCAATATGAATGAAAAGCTAGCATCTCACTCTAGGGAAAAGGGGACAGAGGATTAATGCTTTGGTAAAAGCAATGAAAGTAGATTCCTGGGCAATGTGAAGCTGAGAGTGGTTCAATCTCATCAGATTCTTAAGGCATCTGTAGATCCAGTTTTCCAAAGAAAACTAGGGCAATGACAAATGGGACAGCTAAAAGTAGGTCATAATTACAGCAAAGAAAACAACAGCCAGCATAAACCTGGCCATTGTTATTGCTGAAGTCGTGGATTTACTGCTTTCAATCACTCTAGTCATCATTGGCTTCCTGATACGATCTTCTGTGGTGAGGATAGCTTTTCGGGCTCCATCCCATTTTCCAGGGCCTTGAAGACGATACTGGATTGGAGTGCCGGGTCCCCAAAATAGCTGTACTGCCAATTTGGGGTCAGTGAAGGCCAGAGCCAGCAGATTGGGCCTGACGCCCACCAGATCAGCAAGCTCTTCCATGGTATCTATGTAGTCTACCTGAATGGTATGGCGTTGGCTGTCCACGTACCTGAAGCAGAGAAGACAAAAGCCATGGCCTATCAACAACTCAATCAATCAATCAATCAATCAATCAATGCTTCTGAGTGCCTATTATTGGCTCCCTGTTCGGCTGGGAGCTGTAGAAAACAGAGAAGAAAGACAAGACATTACCTCCCACCTTAAGGACCTTATATAATCTACTGGAGGATAGAAGACAGATACACATGAAGCAGAAAAGAATATGAGTTTGGATATATTGTGTAGTTTTAGATTGCTAAATATAAATGTTAGAAGAGGGTAGTTAAGATAGAGCAATTAGTCCTGGAAGGATGTGGAGGAGATATCTGATAGCAAACAGCAAAGTGTTACAAGTCAGGGGAGCAGTAGAATGAAGGAGCAAAGTAGGAATGAGTATGGAATATGAGCATGGAATATCTACGGGTGCTACCTACAGTAGAGGAGGCACGTTGTGGAAAACAAGGGTGGACAGAGAGAGACAAATGGAGCACATCCAGATACAGAGGACTGTGATGTTTTGAGAGAACTCCCCACAAAAATGCTCAAGTTTGGGATCTTCAATTGTTTATGAGGGCAGTGGTAGTGGGCTCCACAGAGCAGGCCTTCCCAGGGCGAGTGCTAGTTTGGAATACTGAAAGGAGGGGGAGGAGGACGCATCCCACTAGAGGAAGTGGCCCTCCAAACAGAATCAGGTGGAGTGATAATACTAAGTACAGATTTGAAGAGCTAGAACATTTTAGGGGGAAAATGTGGTAACAGATACTTGTGGGAGGAGTGGGATTTAGAGAGCTAACTGGTAACTTTTCACTTCTTGTAAGGAAAATAAAATAACAGTAGGACAGAAAGGAAGAGGAAAGCCAAGTCAAATTAATTGAGATTAGATGGGATAACTTGAGGAAGCCAAAAACGAGGACAGGAACAAATGACAGAAATCTGAGGTGGAATTGGTGAGATGGAATTCTAGAGGAACTAACAGATGGTCCAATTGGAATTTACTGAAATGGGACTAATTTTATAGAAATGGGACTAGACAGGAAAGAATTTTGAGAGCTTCCCCTATGGATATTATGTTGGCTTAAGGGTCTGGAGGCATGCATTTATCCTATAGTAGGGAGGCAAGAGCTGAGTATTCATGGTTTCACCAAAGGGATTCACCCCAGCCTTGTAGGTTGTTGCAAGGATTAAATAAACTCGTGCACATAAAACACTTTGTGTACATAGATGACCCTCAATAGAGGTTACTGGAGACTGCTCACCGTCAGAAGGTAGTTAGACAAGAATGGGTCAAAGGAAAGAGAGGAGGAAAGTTGAAATAGGATAGTTTACTGCCAGAAAAGCAATAATAAATATTATCTAAATCCTTAAAATAACACAAGGAAGATTAAATATAATACAATAAGGGCGCCTGGGTGACTCAGTTGGTTGAGCATCTGACTCTTGGTTTTGGCTCAGGTCTGATCTCCGGGTCATGAGACCGAGCCCTGAGTTGGGCTCCACCCGCAGGGTGGAGTCTGCTTGAGACTCTCCCCCTCTCACTTTGCCCCTCCCTGCTGCGTGCTCGCTCGCTCGCTCTCTCTCTCTCATATAAAGAAAGAAAGCTTTAAAAAAATTAATAAATATAGTATAACATCACTCTAATTAAGAACTAAGTGGGGGCACCTGGGTGGCTCAGTCGTAAGGCATCCGCCTTTGGCTCAGGTCATGGTCTCAGGGTCCTGGGATGGAGCCCTGCATTGGACTCCCTGCTCGGCGGGAAGCCTGCTTCTCCCTCTCCCGCTCCCCCTGCTTGTGTTCCCTCTCTCGCTGTCAAAAAGTAAATAAAATCTTAAAAAAAAAAAAAAGAACTAAGTAGAAAAATTAACCACATACCTCCTGGGAGAATTTCTTACCTTTTAGCAATTTCCTCTTGAGCCTTAGTTATTTCTGCTTTCATTTCACTTTGTGAGGGCAATGTCTTTAGCCCTAAAGAGGAAAATCAAAATTTTAAGTGTAAAATTACCTCACTGGGAATAACAATCTATTAACAATCACTATGCCATGCAGAACTCAAAAGAAATACAGGATAATTTTCTGTACCCAAGGAGGTTATAATTCACCTTACCCCATCATCACCACAATATGACATTAACAATAGTAACTTACTCTAGTCTACTTTGTCTTTGGAAGATACTTCTCCTATTCTGGCTTCTAACCAATACCTTCCTCCTCCCTATCACCATCTTCCTAGTTGGGAAATTAAATAATGGACAAGAGGAAATAATAAATGGTCCCAAAAGTATATGAAAAATAAAGAAGAAAGTAAAAGGGCAGAGTGGGGGGAACCACGCCCACAGTTGTACTCTTTGTAACAAATAGGCTTTATCCCACAGGGAAAGAAGGAAAAATTCTTGATCCCATTTTATGCCTAAAGTCCTATAAAGATAAGCTTTTTCCTATTCTGCCTGGATTCTTCACAATTTCAGAGGCAGCCCATTCCGTCTTGATATGGCAATAGCTGACCAAAAAAAAAAAAAAAAGGTTGGTGTGTTTGTTTTTAATGTTAAGCTGATTTTGTGCAACCCTCAAAGTTTCACTCCTTGGTTCTGGATCAACCCTTGGAAGTGATACTGAGCAAATCAGATCCTTCTGCCATGGGACATTCTTCAAACATTTGAAGGGAACGCTCATATTGCCCCTGAATCTTATGTTCTCTAGGTAAACCCCTCTGGCTCCTTCAGTTGTATTTCCAATGTCGTTTTCAAATCCCTTAACCATTCTTCTCTCTCTCCTTTTCATGCACCCCAGTTTCACTTTTAAAATAGGTCTTTGGGAAAAGTAAAATAAAATGAAATAGGTCTTTGGGTATGTGCTGACCAGTTTAAACAAGAACAATTTAAGTTCTTAGAGAAGAGCAAGTGTAAGTTCTACGACATTATAATTCTTTAATGCTGCTAGAGATGATTAAGCCTTTTAGAAGCTATATCATTCCCCTGACTCATATTTAGCCTATTATCCCAAACGCCAAAGTTTTTTCTCATGTTCTCCTAGCCAAAACTGAAAGAGGGGATATAAAAGGGGGGAAAGGAGGAATTTGAGAGGTTGAATCTTATACATTCTGGACTAGTCTTTAGTCAGGTCTTAATTTTTGGCTGAAATCAAATCACACCATTTCTATATTTGCTTTTCCCTATAATGAAAGATTACATTCTTTCGCTTCACAAATATGTATCAGTTGTCTAAAATCTAGAGGAGTGGATTCTACTATTGGCATCAATGGAGGAATATTTTCTCAGAGATCGTACGCCTGCCCCACTTAGATTTATCAAAGAAACACCACCAGGCAAAGCATACGTATTTGTGGAAAATTTCCCAGGAGATTCCAATATATGTCCACAGTTCTAAGTTATTACTCTATGTTCACTCAAAAATAGTTTCTGAGCACTGATTTTATGCCAGGCACTGTTACAGTCCTACACACTGTTTAGCTATTTAAAAGCAAGAACATGAACATAACTAAACATACCACTAAGTAGTTAGGGAGTCAACTTGCACGGTCACTTACCTTTAAATACTTGAGTGACCCAGCGTCCTTGCATCTCTGAAATGGGCATAACGGCACCCAAGGGCTGGATCAAACCTATGATTGCAAGAGTTGGCTTTTCCAGGTTTGGAGGGAAGACGTTTTTATATAGGGAAATCTTGTTTTTGACTACTTGGACAGAATCTTCAAGAAAAGGGAAGGCGAAAGTATAGCCTGTGGCAAAGATGACAGCATCCATGTTGTCCTCCCTGGAGCCATCTTCAAATATGGCAGCCGTTTCTGTGAATTCCTTCACGTTTCCTTTCACCTTCACCAAGCCAGATATTATACGATTTGGCAGGTCATCATTCAGCGTTGGATGTTGACTCAGAGCTCTGTAAGTCGTGAGATCAGAAGAAAGAAAAATGCGGAAAACAAAAAGGGGTATCGGTAACATGTCAGTAAAATTCCACTTTGATGGAGGTGGTTAAACAATATGATAATGGTCTCTCTCTGGTCTATCCGTGAAATTTGGGAAAGCTCTAACGTATACCAGCTTGGCACAGATTAGGATCTCAGAGCAGAAGTTGGGACATGGATGGCATTGAAAGAGAAGACGGGGGCACCTGGGTGGCTCAGGCTGTTAAGCATCTGCCTCCGGCTCCGGTCATGATCCCAGGGTCCTGGGAATGAGCCCCGCATCGGGCTCCCTGCCAGTGGGGGTTCTGCTTCTCCCTCTGCTCCTCCCCTGCTTATGCTCTCTCTCTCTCTCTCTAATAAATAAAATAAAATAAAATAAAAAGAAAGAAGACATTGGAAAAGTAAAAGAAGAATGGTCTTATTTGAAGAGTGTATATATGGTTTCTCAAGGAATAGTAGTAATATCCTCAGTGATATGATAGGGCCACAGGCCCATAGATTCTATCCACAGATCAGTAGGTCTGGAGAACTGGACTATCTGCATTCTATGAGTCTCATTTCTAGTTTCAAAGGCCCAAGAGCTAGAATTAAACCATCATTTTCAAATGACCTGTATATAGGGATTTATAGTTATAAATTCATTCTCTATACATTCACTTATTGGAGTCTCACACAAACCCAATGAAGGAGGCAGGACAGGTGTCATTATCCAAGTTTAGAGATGAGGAGATTGAGGCCTACAGAAGTGGCTTCCCCAAGGTTACACAGACTAGGATTTTAGAATGTATGTCAAAATGGTTTTCCATGAATTCCTTGGGAGCCTCTGGGCCTCCTAAGTACTATTTTCGTAGAGAAGGCATAGGATAAAGACTGTCCCCCCAACAAAAAAAATTAGGGTTTGTAGTGTCGTGGACCTCTCTAAAAATCAGTCTGGATCCCTGGGCCCTTGGGTTAATAGGCTCTGAGAATTCTCAGCACATCATGTTCAGACAGAGATGGCCAAGCCTCAGGAACATGGCATTACTGTTACTGGTCTGTTGCATTTAGTTACGCTTTGACTCTAACCTTTAGAGTTTAGGTACAGGTTCTGTTCTTATTCTGACCTCATGATTTCATCTTTCTCTCTGAGCTTACTGCTTTTCACAAACAGTACCACCATCTACATAGTTGCCTAAGCCACAGAACTTGAGTCTTCTGTCTGCTCACACAGGCTTTTCCCTTTCTCCACTTAGTATCTCCAGAGTAGTGTTTTCTGTTTTCTATCTTACCTAGACCATTACAATTGTCTGTAGGGCCTCCTGCTCCATCCCCCTTCAGTCTATCTCCTACATCATTTTTGGAGTGGTTGTTCCAAAATGTATTTATTATTAGGTCACTCACTTGCTTGAAATCTTTCAATGCCTCTGGACTCTTGATTCCAACTGTTTTAGTTAGCAGAGTATACAAAGGTTTTTTTTTCTCTTTTTCTAAATGTTTTATGTATTTATTTGACAGAGAGAGACACAGCGAGAGAGGGAACACAAGCAGGCGGAGTGGGAGAGGGAGAAGCGGGCTTCCCGCCAAGCAGGGAGCCTGATGCAGGGCACGATCTCAGGACCCTGGGATCATGACCTGAGCCAAAGGCACACGCTTAACGACTGAGCCACCCAGGCGCCCCACAGAGGTTTTAATATACCTGTCTGGTGAGGCTGGAGATGTGCTCAATCACTCTTTCACCTTTGCCATTTTATTACACTCTGACCAAACCAGACGACATGCAAGTCCCAGAGCAAAATGTATTTTTCACTATTCTAAGACCTTGTAGTTAGAATTAGAATGCAACTTCCTTTCCCTCCTTACTTGGCTAGCTCCTATTATTCCATAAAGCCTCAATTAATTTTGTAACCACCAAAGTTATGGATGCTACAGTTTCCATAACTGGGTGAAATAAATGAGTGAAAGAACACAGTCTCAAAGCATCACCCCACTGATCAAAGGGAAAACATCTTTACAGAGGAGAAACCTGGTAGATGCCACCTTATCCAAGTGATCAAATTTAACCTCATTAATACGGGAGAAATTAATATGATGTGGATGCTGGTGTCATCCACCAAGAAGGTACAACATAACCTATGAGTATTTCTGCCAAAATGCTTAACCAGATTATAATAAAGGTAGGACAAGTATGTGAGTCCAAATTTAGAGATTTTCTATAAAACAGTTGGCTCAATTCTTTCAAAAAAGCCTGTGTCAAAAAATGGTAAATTATTTCGGATGAAGAGAGACTAAAGAGACCTGACAATTAAATGCAATTGGGTAATACCTGAAAGGATCCTAGATTTAAAAATAAGAGAGCTGTAAATAATATTTTGGGGAAAATTTAGAAAATTTGAATATGTGATATATTAGATTGTATGTACAAAACTATTTTATCAATGCTGACTTTCCTGTGTGGGCACTCTGTTACGTTTATGTGGGAGAATGCCTAGAATGTAGGGCAAAGTGTCTTAGTGACTGTGACTTACTCTCAAATGGTTCAGGAAAAATATGTACGTATGCATTTATGGATGGATGCTGTATATGTGGGGAATTATCTATTTTCAGAGAGAGGGAGAGAGAGAAGGCAAATGTAGCAAACTGTTGATAGGTGAATCTAAGTGAAAGGTACATGGGTACTCATTGTACTTACTATTTTGGAGTAAGTAAATCTGAACGTTTAAAAAAAATGAAGAGTTGGAAAAAAGCATTTAAAATCAGCCTCTAGAAATGCTTTCACAGTCTGTCTCCTTGACTGTGTGAGGTCTCCCATAGTTCATACCCCCAGAACACTCCATGCATTTATCATGCTCTCTTGCCTGTCTTCTCCTTAGAGTACTTAAGGTAAGATCCATTTCTCGAGTCTGACATTTATTTCCTGTGTGACCTCAGACGAATTAGTTTCTCTAGGTGTCAGTTTTGCAAAATAGAGGTTAAAAAAAATACTTCTAACCTATAGGGTTGTTGTGAGCATTAAATGAGATCATACATGGAACTCATTTAGCAACGTGCTTGTCTTATAATAAGTCCTCAGAAAAGTAAGGTGTTATTATTTGTACTAGTATTACTATTAGGTCTTTAGTCTCTGTATTCTCATGTGCAGCATAATGCTTGGCTCATAACTGGTGCTCAGTGTTTGTGGGATGAACGAGTGAATTATATTATACACTGCCATCTGCTACCATTTGGTTGTTACTGGGTAGTGTGTAAAAAGAACTTATATCTGAGGAAGTGATCAAATGGTTAATGCCAAGGAGAATCATAGGCTGAAGATTACAGATTACAGTAGATCTTGGACTTCTATAAGGCGCAAGGTAGAAATCTGATCTCAGATCGGTGGATTTTCTTAATGTATGGGTAGAAGTAGCTCTATGGTTAGCCTGTGTGAACAGTCCTTATTCCTGCGCCTTGGGCATCACTGCCCCACTCCCATCGTGGTAACATACCTGTGTTTAGGCTTTAGGCCAAACATCTCGTGGTCAAACCTTTGGTTCATCTTTTTCTCCAAAAAACTGTTTACTAATGACTGACCACAAATCTTCGAAAGAAAATGTTTATATCGAGAAGAGAATAACACATCAAAAGGATATCCATAGTCGGATACACGATTCAGGATCCAAGACCCTCTCCTGGTGCTGAGGAAAACCTGGGGCATGGGGGAAAAATTGTTTGCATTTCTCATTCTCTGCTCATAATCCTTTAATAGCACCCCACTCTCTTCAAGACTAAGTTCAAACTCATTTCTCGGTCTTTTTAGTCCCTGCGCAATTTTTTTTTTATTTCCTGCAATTTACCTTTTTAAACACTAAGAACACAATGAAATTAGTACACTCACTGACCAAGAACGTGTCTTTCTCTCAGTCACCACTGCATTTCTGTTTAATGTCATTATGCCTCCTTGAAAAGCCACTTATTTTCTTAATTCTCCAAAGCCTATTTATTGTTAAGATCCAGATAAGTGTGCCTTCCTCCATAAGACGCCACTGACCATTCTGCCTGATAATTCTTCTCCCTGCTTTGAACTTCTCTAGCACTTAACCTGCCCAGCTCTTTTAAAATCGGGGAGCAGTAGAACTGAAAGCAACTGGACACCATTTAATCTATAATCCTCAGTCTCTTTTGCCTTTGACATTATTTGCATTATTACCAAAAACCCCTGTTATTTATCATTTATACTGATATTAAATTTTTTACACTTCTGTCTCTGCAAAACCTTTTCCTCCAGGCTGGGAGGTACAGCATAGATATCTTTCAGTCTCCCCAACACATCATCATTGCTTCTATTTATTGAGAATTGTGACCTGTAACTCACTGTGCCAGGTCCTTTAATCTATATTCTTACTTAATCAATACAACAGCCTCTTGAAGTGGGTATTATTATCCCCATTTTACGGATGAGAGGCATGGAGAAAATGAATAGCTTGCCTGAAATCATACAGTTATTAAGTGGTAGAGCTGAATTTCCAACCCAGGTCTGATGACCCCAAAGCCTGTCCTTGAAGAAGTGTTTCATTGATTATTTAATGGAAAAACTGCAGATCACTAGTAGAACAACAGGAAGCTGGTCAGTCTTTAGGTGTTCTCTGCTCGCTACGGTCCGTGTTCAGAGCTGATAAAGTTTTGACATTCAATTACCTGGTGAAAGTATCACTTTCTCTACAAAACTCTCTGGAGATAGTTTCCAGAATTGTAAGGTACATAATAAGTACCCGCTCCATGGTCTTTTGTCTATAAACTCTCATATAAAAAGGTGACCAGGCTACAGAGGGATAATAATGTACTTCACTCCTACATTCTCACTGATGGTAACCTTACACAGTCTGATGATTAAGCACAGTTGGAAGAGCATGCACGGTCTTAGGAATCACACAGCTTTGTGTGCAAGTCTGTATCACTTTTGTTATATAAGTATGCGAGTAAATGCTCAGCGTCTCAATTAACAGATTCCCTGTGTATAAAGTAGTGAAAATAATACATCCCAAGGCTGTTGTGAGAATAGTGCACCACCTGCAAAGGGTGGGGCATATAGTAAACATTCAATAAATGCTTAATGGCTTTCATCATACTTCTCATTTCAGTTTTCCATGTATACCTTGTTTTAAGCAAACACCGTATTTACAAGCCTGGATTTATATGAAAAAAATGTAAGTAACGTTGTTTTATAAGAAATGGGTGTTTTCTCTTCACAGAATGGGTGTGCTGGTGTCAGCCCTGCCGTGCAGACATGGTTGTACAGTGTGTTGTCCCCAGGCCTTCTCAGACACAGCCACCTTATCTCCATCCACTCTGGATGTTTCCTTTGGCAATCTGCAGTTCCTCAGTGTATGGAAGGCCCAGCTCCCTTATAACTGACCATGTGACAAGCCAGTGATATTAAAGAAGACTCATGCTTTGGGTCCCCATCATATACTTTACACACTCTTTCATCATAACACCTATAAAAATTTTTACCCTTTTTTGTTTATATACCTATTTCCTGATCAAGCTTGTTGAACTAATTTATAGGGCAACATATGAAATTACTTTTGTGGCAATAGATGGGGATAATACTGAGAAGTGTTACTGAATGGATTTTCTGGGTAAAGGTCACTTAACAAAGTCGTGACATTAAACTTCTATTTTAAAAAGATGAAACATATTTGTGGATAAACACAGCTTAATTAAAGTTACTGGAAAATGCCAGACACTTACCTATTGCCAACAAAGTTATTCAATACAGACATGAATAACAAGATATAAAATGACATGTCTTTTTCTAGGAGTTTATAATGAAGTCATTTTCTTTCCAGCACAAACTCTATGCTACAAAAACCAAAACAGCTCAGGTCTTTTTTTTTTTTTAACACTGGAGTGCAAATCTGGAACCCAAAAAACAAAACAAAACAAAAAACTCTAGGACACAGAAATTGCTTTAGAGTGAATGTCATTCTGATACCTAACTGTATGCAAAGGCTGGGGTGAACTCCTTGCACATGCTACAGCATGGATGCTTTTCATACCAATATCCACGTTGTCTTTGGAAAGATTAGACTGTTTCTATTTTCCATTTGGGGAGTGAGGAGGAAAATTCCCCCACCATCCTCTGAGTGCAAAGCCTTCCGCTGAACCAGTGTGCTTTCCTTCATATGAGAGTGTGGCACTTTCCGCTAGCCTAAACAGGAGCCATACTCTGAATGCTGCATTTGACCAAGCTCCCCAGGCAACTGCTTGGTCTTCAAAGTCAGAGGCATACTCAGAAGAGACAGCTGATTGAGATAATTGGGATTCTTTAGTGTGAGGTCAACAGGAATGATGGGAATCTAACAGGGAACACTGGCTCCATCATATCATCGTCATAATGTTGCCAACTGAGGCAACGGAGCCAAGCCCTGTGTTTGCCATTGGCACGGATGGGCTATGTGCAGAGGCATTCATACTCCATGTTGGGGCTACATACTGCTTCCTTGATGAAGCAAAGTAAATAATTTCCTGATTCAAACCTGCTTGGCTGTGCGGGAAATTTCCACAGCCAGATCCCCTCCAGAATTCCCAATGCCAATTATAATGACTCTCTTTCCAGTGAAAATATCTGGATTCTTATAGTCTCGGCTATGGAAGTACTGTCCTTTGAACTTCTCAATTCCTGCAAGAGAAGGGAAAAGAATTATCGGATGAGGCTTATCTGCTATCATTTGCCAAACCATTCAAATTGCTGGCAGTGGGTAGAGTTTAAGCACACACCTCCATCTGTTCTCCCTTTACTCAGCTGCATGCTTGCCTTTCTGAATATTTTTGCCTATTTTCTTTTCTCACAGTCTCAGAGCAGAACCTTGTGACTTCCTTACCACGGATAGTCTGCTTAACTCAGGATCTGCTTGTATTTTGGACTTGCAGACTCCCAAATGCAAACTGCTGCAGAAAACCTCCTTTCTCTTTTGTCTTTTCATATTTAAATGCCTACTCCCCTTTCAATTGGAGTACCTATGGTTTCATATACTCTAGAGTATACTAGAGTGCTTTTTTTGTGTTGTTTTTTTCAAAATGAAAATCCAGGTCAAAATCTATAATTGAATTCCTTAAGTTTTCATTTCTTCCTTAGAAACTCAGTATTTGTTTGTTTCCTTGATTGCTGAAAAAGTCTTTATTCAACCTAATACGGATCAACTCCATGTTCTTTCTTTTGCTCCTTAGAAAAACTAAGGTTGTGGGGAAACCAAAGAAAGAGCCCTCTAATTCTTCTCTAGTCTCCAAAATTAATGTTATTGTTACCTCCCAAATGGCAGTAATCAAAGTTGCCCCAACATCTTTCAGGGAAACATGCAGAATTAGGATAAACTTCTTCTCATCCTTAGGGAGGAATGACTCAGGCCACAATCCTCCCATTTCCTCAGAGATCAGCTCACAGGCATGGCTCAAGGATTTCCTTCCTTGTAGGCTACTCACCAGGAAAGCTTTCCAAGGGTAAGTGAGCATTGGTGTGATGGCCAGTGCAAACCATGACTCCATCAAAGACATGTACCTCCTTTTCCCCTTCAGATTCTGTGACTACCTCCCATTGGCCTGAAGTGGAGAAATCAGGCCGCTTCTTCACACTGCACACAGTGGTCTGAAAAGAAAAGTGATAGCTCCAGGAGACTAACCACAGCCAATACAGTGGACATCTTCCCTGACATGACTCTCCTTGCAGAGTGTTACACAAAGGGCTATCACATAATAGAGCTCATGCAGCGATATTTGATTTTCATATTCCACACATAAGAACTTCTTTGTCCGGGGCGGTGGTCAGAGTGAGAAAACTCCCATGAGACAGGCTAAATAAAATAGTTGGCAGGTTGGGCGCCTGGGTGGCTCAGTCGTTAAGCGTCTGCCTTCGGCTCAGGTCATGATCTCAGGGTCCTGGGATCGAGTCCCACATCGGGCTCCTTGCTCTGCAGGAAGCCTGCTTCTCCCTCTCCCACTTCCCCTGCTTGTGTTCCTGCTCTCCCTGTCTCTCTGTCAAATAAATAAATAAAATCTTTAAAAAAAAAAATAGTTGGCAGGTTAATGGTGCACTCTCCTCTGCTTCTAGAAAAGTGCAAATTACTCGTTCTCTTAGACCATGCCCTAAGATGTCATGAGACGCGTGAACAGAACGTAGGTTTCTCCTGTGCTTCTAAGGCACTCCATGCACTAAATGCCTACTCCTCTCCTGACCCCCAGACATCCTGGGACCCTCTGGTATCTTTTTATCCCAAGTCCTGTTCTCACTGTCTAGGCTTAAACTCGTGACTGAGTCAATGATCCTCTCTTTGGCTCCCATAAATGCCAATTTTACAAGTGATTATAAAGAAAGAGGCTGCAAGATGGGATAGTCAGTGGTATAATTTTTAGGTTTAAAAAAATGGGTTTTTCTATCCAGCCTAAGGAAACATTAAGAGTGTATTCCTATGTGGTTCTAGGGTCTCTGACCGCAATGTCTTGGTGGACTCCTAGAGATACCGTATCGGTAGAACCTAGCCATCCTGCACTATTTAGAGTTCTTCTCCTTAAGGTTCTTGCTTTTACACAGGCTTGTGCCTCTGCATGGGTCATCTTTTATTTCTTCATTTGGCAGATTCCTACTTACCTTTCAACATTTAGCTTCCATATTATCTCCTCTAAAAAAAACTTCCCTGGTGCCTATTGTCTCATGCCCTGATGGGTTACGCACCCTTCCTCTGAGCTAACAATATATAAATCTCTAAGGCATTTATTACCCTGTAACTCTTTACTTTCATTAAATTTATAGAAATTTTTTTCTTCATTCTTATATCTTCTTAACTAGGCTATGAAACCATTGGCTTCTTTTGGTCTTTGTGTCTCCACCGATTAGTATGGCAACAAACTTGTTAAATGTGTTTAACAACAAGGGAAGTCACTGAACTATAAAAGACTTACTTTGGAAGTTGTCACTGGATATTACCAGTTTATTATCCTTGTTAAATAGAGAAAGTGATGATTTAGCAGAACGATCAGAAGGCAGAAGGGAGGTGGGAGTGGGGAATTGGATGCAGATGGTCAAGAGGTACAAAATTCCAGTTATAAGATAAATAAGCACTGCGGATATAATAATGTACAACGTGACGACTATTGACAATACTGCTGTATGGCATATTTGAAAGTTGTTAAGAGAGTAGATCCGAATACTTCTCATCACAAGGGGAAAAAGAATGTAGAATATTTAGGCTTTTTGCCAGCCCCCAGAAATATGTGTTCTTCTATGGCCATGGTTAAAGATGATAGAAAAATCGGGCTCCTAGGTGGCTCAGTCGGTTAAGCGTCTGCCTTTGGCTCAGGTTGTGATCCTGGGGTCCTGGGAACAAGTCCTGCATCGTGCTCCCTGTTCCATGGGGAGCCTGCTTCTCCCTCTCTCTCTGTCTCTCATGAATAAATAAAATAAAATCTTTGAAAAAAATGATGATAGAAAAATCAAGGAAGACTTAACAACAGGAAGGAACCATTGAACTGATCTGATATAATCATCTTGTTTTACCAACAAGAAAATTTTTACAAACAAGAGAACAAGAGACGTCAAAGTTGAGGAACTTACTTGTCTGAAGCCACAAGTTGATTAGTGATAGAGCAAAGAGTAGAACTCAAGTTTTTGTTCCCCAATTAGTGTTCTTCCCTCTACACCAGAGTTAATTTCTTGGCTTCCTCAATAACTTCCCAATAACTGCTTCACTAGGTTGTTTGTGATCACATAAAAATAATGCATTGGTGTGATCTGATGAGCAATGGATGTTACACGCAACGGATAAATTGTTGAACACTACACTTGAGACTAAGGATATGTTGGCTGATTGAATTTAAATTAAAAAAAATGCACTGGCAAGTACTTCAGAAAGTATAAAAGGGCTAAGCAGCAGCAGATAAGCTGTGATGGACCCAGAAGTTTCCATACCCGTCAGTTCCCCTCCGTAACCGGGAAAACACTTGCCCTCATTTGTTTTATTGCAATCAAATAGCATAAAGTGAAGGAATGAAAACATTCTGGCAGGTGGCTTCTAGGATCTGCAGCCAAAATATATAGAAAAAGGGCCTTTCCATGGACAGAGACAGGCACAGAGAAGACAAAAGAATGGTCTTTTTCTGGATAGGATAGATACATGGGCATATTAAGCCAGTCTTTACACATAGGCACGGGTAAATTAAGCCACATTCTTCATTTATTTTACAAACAACTTCAAACACAGAGACACCCAGAAAATTCCCTACCTTAAAGCGAATATACTTTAGAAGATCAAATTCTTTGGCATACATCCGGAAATACTTGAGGACCTGGGAGTTGGGCATGAAGTTAGGATAATGATCTGGGATGGGATAGTCACTGAAGCACATCATCTCCTTAGATGTGTTGATGATCACTGATTTGTAAATACTGGCCCTTCCTTCTTCAGGATTTTCCTGCATTAAATAAGAAGCATTCATAGCAACTTGAGAATTAACTACATGGTTTATTAACAGTCAGTAAACATTCGAAAAAGTATTCTGAAAGAAATGCCAATTAAAAAAAGTTATATAGACACACACACCCCTCCACGTCTCCCAGTATTTGTGCCCTTGTGTAGTCTCTTCCCTTTGAATCTGAGTTGTCTTTGTGACTTGCTTTAGACCAACAGCATGCAGTTGGCATGATACCTGGATAGCTTCCAAGTCAGTCCTAAGTACTCTTGCAGTTTCTGCCCTCTGTCTCTTAGAAAGCTTGATCTGGTAGAAGTCAGCAGATATGTAAGAAGTCCAACTACCTTAAGTCACCATTCTGTGAGTAAGCCCAAGTCAGACACATGAAGAGAATGTCTGGGATACAGAGATGTGTAGCCAGCCCCCAGAAATTTGGTTTATCCCAGCTGAAGTTCTAAACATGTGAACAAAGAGACCACAGCAGATATACAGTTTCAGTTGTCACCTAATTGCAACGACATGAGACTCCCAAGTGAGAACTGCTCATCTGAATAATAGTCTTATAAATATTTTATATATTTCAAAGCCTAGATGAGTTTCAAGGGTTGTTGTACTCTGGCAAGACTGCGCTCCAGGAAACATTGTACTAACTTCTATTGTGTCCCGCATATGTTCCCCTATGACCTCATTTTTTTACTCATTTATTTTTTATTTTTTTAATTTTATGATGTTATGGTAGTCACCATACAATATTTTTTACTCATTTAAAAGACTATTACTCGGTGTTAGCACAAACAGAAACTTATGAAATGGGAACTTATGCTGGAGAGAGTGAAGTTAGTACAATGTTTTCTGGAGAGCAATGTGGCAAGTATATGAAAACCCTTGAAACTTACTTAGCTTTTTAAGAAATATTCAGCGTAGTAGACAAAGTTACATTAAATGATGTTAATGATAGCGTTATTTTAGAAAAGAAATAAGCTAAGTGCCTGTGATACTGTGACTTATAAGAAAAACATGTTTGGTCATTCAGACGACCAAAAAAATATCTCTCATATGTATTTGGTCTTTGTATATATTTTGCATATACATGTGGACTTGCCTACAGTTCCTGACTCATAGCTCCCCAAACCCTGGGAATTTCCTAAGTGTTAAGAATAATAAAGATGTCTTTTGTTGTGTTAATGAAGGGACTTTGGGAAACCACTTAAAGACAGGGGCTGATTGCCAAAGGAGCCAACTAAGGGGAGCCTGGGTGGCTCAGTCAGTTAAGCATTCCACTCTTGATTTTGGCTCAGGTGGTGATCTCAGGGTTGTGAGATTGAGCCCCATGTTGGACATCCCTGCTGAGCAGGGAGTCTGCTTGAGATTCTTCTCTCCCTCTCCTTCTGCCTCCCCCCACCCCACCACCACCACCACACACACTCTCCCCCTCTCTCTCAATTAAAAAAAAAAAAAAAAAAAGAGGAGTCAACAAAGTGATTAGAGGGCTGGAACTTTCAGTCCCACCCCCACCCCCACCACCGACTTTTGGGGAGGGGAGAGAGGCTGGAAGTTGAATAAATTGCAATGGCCATGATTTAATAATTTCATCAACCATGCCTACATAATGAAGCTTCCATAAAAACGCACAAGGATGGGGTTTGGGGAGCTTCCGGACTGGTGAAGCTGAGGAAATATGGGGAGAGTTAGTTAGAGCACTCAGAAAGAGCACAGAAGCTCTGTGTCTTGTCCCCATACCTTGTCCTATGCATTTCTTCCATTTGGCTGTTATAAGTTATATCCTTTTATAATAAACCGGTAATCTAGTGAGTAAATGGGTTTCCTGAGTTCTGTGAGCCACTATAGCAAATTAATCAAACCCAAAGAGGGGGTCATGGGAACCTCTGATTTATAGGCAGTTGGTCAGTTGTATCAGTAATAACCCGGATTTGTGACTGGTATCTGAAGTGGGGTGCAAGTGGGCGGCCCTTTCACAACTTTAAAAGTACATACTACTGCTTCTCCATTTGGAATTTTCCTATCATTCAAGAGTCACACCAAATGGCACTTCTTTGAAGAAGACTTTTCTGTTTTCCCCACAGAGTTAGATGTCCCATTCATATCCAAGCTCTCAAAGGCAACTTAAACTTAACACTGTATTATCCTGTATATGGTTCTATGACCGTGAGGTACCTGAGAATAGGATGTATATCTTATTCTTCTTTGTGTCTCTATCATCAACACAGTGCCTGATATAGAGTGGATGTTCAATAAGTGCTTTGAAATGAATTCATGACTGAATTATGGAGAATGAGTTTGGAGACACCTAAACTGTAATTTTCAAATCTATGTAAGAACATTGAAAATGACCTATAATATACCTTTTGGTAAAAAAAAAAATTAATGTTACAAAATCAAATTCACATTCTCACTATCAAATATATAAAATTATGTCAGCATGGGGCAATAGTATACTACCTATATTTACCCATGTTTACATAATTGTGCATTGTATAACCTCTCCCCCGTCAGATGGTTCTGAGTATATTTTATTTATTTTAAGCCAATAGAACTTGAAAATAGGAAAAACAAATTGATTTATTAATGAGGTAGTATTTTTCTTTTGTTTTTGTTCAGATGTTGTTTATACAACACCCCTTCATGATTTAAAAAAGAAAAACCTTCAGCAAACTAAGAATAGAAAAAAAATTCTTCAATTTGATTTAAAAAAAAATCTACAAAATACCCACAGCTAACATAACTTAATGTGAGAAAATGGACAGTTTCCCCCTTAAAATTGGGAACAAGGCAAAGATGTCCTCTCTCACCATTCCTGTTCAACACTGTACTAGAAATCCTAGTTGATGTAATAAGACAAGAAAAGGAATAGTGGCTGTACCAGACTGCATTCCCACCAACAGTGCAAGAGGGTTCCCCTTTGTCCACATCCTGGCTAATAACCTTGTGTTATTTTATTTTATTTTTTTTTATTTTATTATTTTTATTTATTTTATTATTTCTTGTGTTGTTGGTTTTAGCCATTCTGACAGGTGTGAGGTGATATCTCATTACAGTTTTGATTTGTATTTCCCTGATGATCAGTGATGTTGAGCATCTCTTCATGTGTCTGTTGGCCATCTATAGGTCTTCTTTGGAAAAATGTCTATTCATGTCTTCAGCCCACTTTTTCATTGGATTATTTGTTTTTTGGGTGTTGAGTTTGATAAGTTCTTTATAGGTTTGGGATACTAACCCTTTATCAGATATATCATTTGCAAATATCTTCTCCCATTCCATAGGCTGCCTTTTAGTTTTATTGATTGTTTCCTTTGCTGTGCAGAAGCTTTTTATTTTGATGAAGTCCCCATAGTCTATTTTTGCTCTTGTTTCCTTTGCCTTAGGAGACGTATCTAGAAAGAAATTGCTATGGCCTATGTCAAAGAGGTTGCTGCCTGTGTTCTCCTCTGGGATTTTTATGGTTTCATGTCTCACGTTTAGGTCTTTATTCCATTTTTAATTTATTTTTATGTGTACTGTAAGAAACTGGTCCAGTTTCATTCTTTTACATGTTGCTGTCCAGTTTTCCCAACACCAGTTGTTGACGAGACTTTTTTCCATTGGATATCCTTTCCTGCTTTGTCGAAGATTAATTGCCCATATAGTTGTGGGTCCCTTTCTGGGTTTTCTATTCTGTTCTAGTGATCTCTGTGTCTATTTGTTGTGCCAGGACCACACTGTTGTGATTACTACAGCTTTGTAATATAACTTGAAATCTGGAATTGTGATGCCTCCAGCTTTGCTTTTCATTTTCAAGGTTGCTTTGGCTATTTGGGGAAAATAGTATGGAGGTTCCTCAAAAGGTTAAAAATAGAACTACCCTATGACCCAGCAATTGCACTACGAGGTATTTGCCCAAAGAATACAAAAATACTAATTCTAAGTTTAGTATAAGGAGTAGAACCATGCTTTCTAGAGCAGGTCAGTCGGGCTCACAGAGCTAAATGCATCACAGATCCTACCCCTGTGACAAAACTCATATATTTATATTCTTTTTCATGTCACTAACACAGCAAAGTGTTTTCTTATGTCCACAAAAACCATCAAGGGGCACCTGGGTGGCTCAGTCGGTTCAGCTTCTGCCTCCCGCTTAGATCGTGATCCCAGGGTCCTGGGATCAAGCCCTGCATTGGGCCCCCTGCTCCGTGGGGAGCCTGCTTCTCCCTCTGCCTCTCTCTCTTTCTGTCTCTCATGAATACATAAGTAAAATCTTAAAAACAAAGACATCAAGCTATTCCAGACTCCTGACTGGACCCCAGGTAGGGTTTACCACAGTGTTAAACCACTGCTTTTTATAAAAGAGAGTGGGAACAGAGCAATATCGGATCAGTGAGTGGAAAAAGAAGCTGTTGCGCTGGGGTTTTAAATTTTCCTACCATAATTAATACATCTGCCCTCTACAAATGTACCTTGATTGTATTTCCTGCCTAAGCACATGACTCACACATGTGAACAGGAAGTTCATACAAGAAAAGAGAATGGGGCAGTGTTGCTCTTCTGTTCCTTTGAGAAACTCAGAATTCCATGGGACAGAAGCTCTCTTAGGACTGTTCTCAACCTTGTCTGCACATTGGAATAATCTGGGGAACTCTAAAAAACACTAAGGCCTGGTCCCTACTCCCAGAGACCCTGTTTTAATTGCTCCTTGTCTAATATGCAGACAAGGTGAGATCTGCTGGTAAGAGGTAGTGTGCTGGCCCCAGAAAGCCCGGGCACCAGAGTTCATCCCATCAACCTCAAAAGTCTTTTCTCCACACATTCTTAGCTAAATTGCAAAATGCTTGAAGACAGTGGCAGGAGTTTACCTTTATTTCGACATCGTCTAACAAAGTCCAAAGTTCAATATACCGTTCCTGATTTTGTTTTAAAGATGCCACGTCATCCTCATTTATCAACTGGAAAGCTGGGGTTAAAAACTATAGGGCCAAGGTCTCCACACCGGCTGCACATTAGAAATAAGTGGTGGAGAGTTTTATTGGCATCACAGGCCAATAATACCAGAACTTCTAAATGGCCTGACATCAGTATTTGTTAAAGTTCCCCAGATGATTCTTCAAAAGTACCGTCAGTGCTGAGAACCACTGCTGTCTACCCTCTTCTAAGTGTTTTTGCATTCATTCGTCTTTTATTTTTTTGGAGGGGAGAGAGTTAAAAACCTATTCATCTAAGGGTGTTTATTACTTAATTTATATTTTATTTTGTTTTAATTTTATAGCATATTGTATCCACTTGGTATCTTTTTTATATTACTTTTTTATATTATATATACTCTTTGTTTTAAAGATTTTATTTTTAAGTAATCAGTACACCCGACGTGGGGCTCCAACGTACAACCCTGAGGTTAAGTCGCACGCTCCACCGACTGAGCCAGCCAGGTGCCCCTACATATACTCTTTAGAGCTTTGCTACTGGAAATGTAGTTCTCAGGTCATCAGCATCGACGTAACATAGGGGTTTATCAGAAATGCAGAATCTTGGCAGCACTCCAGATTAATCAATCAGAACGTACATTTTGGCACAAATCACCAGTGATTCATATGCACATTAAAGTCTGAGAAGCACTGCTTTGGTATGCTTTAAGGATTTTAAAAATTCAGATTGACTAAAGAATCTTAAAAAAAATTTCCTGCATTAGATCCTTATTAAATCCTCAGCATTCATAAGGGGTTTATCATTTTAAAGCTATTTCACTCATAAAGTAATGTTAAAGTATGAAAAATCAAAATGATACCTTAGCACCTACTTTCCACCATCAGTCTGAACTAATGTTAATGAGGAGACTAAGAATTGATTGAAATTATGTCTTGAGACTTATGAAAAAATGTCTTGAGAACTTATAAATAATTACTACTGGAAAGTATTCAACAATAATAAGGAGGCAAGTGGGAGAGTAAATCATATGCTCCTGTTTGGCAGGTGGAACAGAGAAAGAGGAAGAGAGATAGGAAAATGCAAGTGATGGTACCTGAGAATAAAAATATGGATGTATACTGGATCCCTAGGACCTGTCACAAGAAAAAGAAAAGGGCAGCCCTGAGGCCCCATTGTCTTATGGGACACCTGGCAGCAATGGTGGAATTCCAAAGTGCTTGGGATGATCCCATGTATGAAACCCCCAGTGAATTACAGAAGAGTTAGAGAAGTGGGGGAGAGCAGCACTCCAAATAACAAACCAACCAGGGGGTGGTAGGGAAGCAGGTCTCAGAGGAAATTCTTGAGGAAAACAGCATCGGCATGTAAAACATATTTAATCCAAAATTAATGAATGTTTACAATACCTCAGGATCCACAAATGCGTAACTGTGGAATGTGTGAGAATGAAGGTCCTTCTTTCCACAAGCATTTTAAGCAGCCCCTGAATTGCTTCTCAAGGATTTATTTATAAGACATAAATATATTTGGCACCTAACATGTGCCAGACATCACACTTGGCTCTAGAAATATAATGGTGTGGGTGTGCACATGTGTATGTATGTATATACATGTGTGTGTAAAATGTATTCCATATGATATATAATATAATGGACACAGATGTAGGTGGTCTTAACAGAAGTCAGAGAGTTATGACAAAATATAGCTTCTTGATTTTCAAGGAAGCAGTTCATATGGTGCTGAAATTTTGCCAGGTGGATACTCAGGAAAAATCCCAGGTTAAGTCTTTAACAGAGAACAAGTCTAAACCACTTTGCAGGTAAATGCCAGAAACCTGATAATCAGGTAGAATGGGGACCTGACCTGATTGCATTGCCTGATAAGTAACTGGTAAACCTGGCTAGGACGCTTACCAAAGACACCAACCAGATGCATGGGCCCCACTCCAGGCCTACTGAATAACAATAACGATGACATCTGGCACTTACTGTACACCTGGCACTGTTATTACTGTTGACATAATTATCCATTCACTTAACCCCCACAATAACTCCATGAAATGGGTGCTACTATTATCTCCTTCTCAAAGATAAGAAAACAGAGGTACACAGAGGTCTAATGATTCTCCTCAAGGTCACACTGCTAGTAGGTACAGACCTAGGATTTGAACACAGGCTGTGCGCTTAACTTACATACTATGGGGGCGCCTGGGTGGCTCAGTCGTTAAGCGTCTGCCTTCGGCTCAGGTCATGATCCCAGGGTCCTGGGATCGCGCCCCGCATCGGGCTCCCTGCTCCGCGGGAAGCCTGTTTCTCCCTCTCCTACTCCCCGTGCCTGTGTTCCCTCTCTCGCTGTCTCTCTCTCTCTCTCAAATAAATAAATAAAATCTTTAAAAAAACAAAAAACTTATATACTATGTTGTGGCTGGATTCAAAAGCATAATTTTCTCTTAATTACCAAACACTAATTAACAGCCTTTTCAGTTCATGCCCAAGACTGAGGCATGGGGGTTCCACCAGAGGATAGTCACTCTAGGTCTGAGTAAGAACTATTGTCAAATAAGAGTTAGTTCCCCAAGACAGAGCCAAGGCGCAAAAGGACTGCAGTGTTTTTCAGCTAAGGAATGCTATGAAGCCATGTATATATGGATGGATGGATGGATGTGTGTGTATGTACGTATGTATGTATTTTAGAGAAAGAGTGAGTGCATGAGTGGGAGGGGCAGAGGGAGAGGGAGAGAGAATCTCAAGCAGACTCCATGCTGAGCACAGAGCCCAACGTGGGGCTCCATCTCACGACCCTGAGAACATGACCTGAGCTGAAATCAAGAGTCAGACGCTCGACCAATTGAACCATCCAGGTGCCCTACTATGAAGCCATTTGTAAGTGACCGATCAACACTGTGTTTGTGTGTAGGAAATATGAGATACATCTGGACACCTTAATACCATTCACTGGTTTAGGAAGTGAATTTAAAAGCAAACCCAGTGAATGCCTGCCTCTTTGAAGATGAGTAAAGGAGGTTGATATTCTGTGGCATGTAAGTAGCTTAATTATCTTTTAAGTAGATGATAACTAAACTTAGTGACAAGTTGCAGGGCTGGATGTACATATTAATAACTCAATTTAAAAAACTGAATACAATGCAAGGGTAAGAAATACCAGTTGCAGGTGCCCTCTGCCCTCTTCTGAAGACAGGCCTTTGAACTAAATTGGATTTTTCAAGTGAAAGAAAAGTTCAAAACAAAGAAGAGCGCCAGAATTTATATTCTATTTGAGGACTAGGATTATTAGAGAATTATTTAAATTGAACTGGAATTCAAAGAGAAGAAAGAAAGAAAGAAAAAAGAAAGGAAAGAGAAAGAGAGAAAGATAAAGAAAGTAAAGAAAAGGAAAGAAAAGAAAAGAAAGAAAAAGAAAGGAAGAAAAGAGAGAAGGGAGGGAGGGTGGGAGGAAAAAGGAAAGAAAAGACGGTAAGGTCAGAGAGGACAGAAAAGGGGATCCCTGGAAGGAGTTGTAAGCAAGTGTTCTAGATCACTTACTTATTAATGCAGACCAGGAGCAACCACTTTAAATTTCCTAACCACATTACATTTTCTTAGGTTTGCTATCTTGTTACACTCCACCCTCACTGTGCCCCCCCCACCAAGATTGTTTACCCTCTTTCAGATAGCCACAAAACTCATTAAGTGAAAATGATCTCTGTGCCATTTTTATTTCCACAGACATCAGTAAAGTACAAACAAGTGATACCTGTGTCCTATTTTGCTCCTAGCCTGTGGTGGGGGGAGGAGAGCGTGAGGAAGAACCTGAATAGAACCTGAGATGACGGCTGCTGAGAAGAGGGCAGCAGGCTGGATTCTAGCAAGTTTCATCACTGTTAAGCCCATCATATTTCCTGACACAAGATAAAATGTCTCATTGCTGGAGGAGGTCATCAAGAGGACATGACCACCGGTTGACTGCACTCAGGCAATTGGAGGCTCCTCACCCCTTCCCCTGCCCTTGGGCAAATCTCCATTGGTGAATTCCACCTCTGGGTAACCAAATCAGTACTGCGGGCAAACATTAACTGGGAATCAGTAAGCCTGTCATCCCTGTACAGTGGTAACTGTCAATATAAATTGCTTGGGGGGCATAAGGATAAGCAGTCCAAAACTGCACTGAATGTCCAGTAAAAACGTCAGATCACTCATGGTGGATGACAGCACACTACCGAGAACTGAACAAGGTAGTCTCTTCCCAATCCATGCAGCTGTGCCCAACATTGCCACCATCTTAGATACCTTGGCCAGAGTCCTAGGAGTGTGCTGTGCTGTGCTGGACTTAGCAAATGCCTTTTTTCAGTATATCCCTGACCACTGAGTCACAAGACCAGTTTGCATTGACAAGGGAGAGGCACCTGGGTCTTTCGAGTGATTCCCTAAGGCGCCGTGCACAGCCCCAAAATATTTCATGGGATGGTAGCCTGAGACCTGCCCTGTTTTCCTTGCCCACATCACTAAAATGGGTCCATTACATTGATGATATGTTAACATGGGAAGATTTGCCTCTGCTGGAGGCAATCCCTGGAGGCTTTGCTGGAGCCTATGTGAGAGAGAGGATGGGCAGTGAACCCACAAAAAACTCAGGGTCAAGGGAGCTGTCTGGTCAGATGAGACTTGTGTTGTCCCAGAAGCTGTGGTCGATAAGGTGCAAGCCTCCCCAATCCCTAAGAATGTGAATGAAATGCCAGCCTTTGCAAGGATTTAGAGACTTGGGAGGACTCTTATTGCCCACCTGGCACAGTGTCCCCATTCCTTATACCACCTGGTAAAGAAAGGGCACATGTAGGACTGGGGATCAGAGCAGCAAGCTGCCTCTGAAAAGGCCAAAATACTAGTAAAGCAGGTTATAGTTCTGGGCATCTCCCAAGCAGGACTACCATTTGAATTAGATGGGTCTGTGACTCTGGAATATATGGGCTGGGCAGCAGTACCTGAAATAAGAGAAGGAGAGAGTACTCCTAGGATTTTGGTCTCAGCTCTGGCAAGAGAGCAAAAACCTGCCTAACCCGCACAGAGCACCCTTCCAGATTAAGCCTCTCACTAAGGAACAGAGCACACTGTGGTAAGAACTTCCCTGCCCATCAAGAGATGGGATGAGAATACGTTCCATTTACCCACTTCTGCCGTAGCTCAAATTTCCACGGTGATTAAGTGACATGCCTATTTGCAGCAGAGGTGCTCCCGGTCCACCAGTCTACTAGAAATGCAGGTGCTGCTAGGACCTGTGGAGGATGTAGATCCTCCAGATGCCCCTGCCCCTATACCTGCTGTGTCCCTGTAGCCTGTAGGGAGGGAGTGGGGAAATTCTAGCTGACGCCCAGTATACACCTGGGTCTAGTCAGGGCAATCCCTTCAAGAGGACTACAGTCACTATTTTGCCCAAAACTTACCCCATCTGGGCTGGAAACAGGAACAGAGTAGAGTAACCAGTGGGCTGAACTCAGAACCGCTTGGCTGGTGATTCATGAGTTCTGGCTGTTACTCCTTTGTTAACCTTTTGCACTGACAATTGGGCCGTTCTAAAGGGATGAAACCTACGGCTTGGACATTGGGAAGCCAAGGGGTGCATGATCGTGAATGAGCCCTTGTGAGTATCAGGATATGCGGAAAGACATTTGGGTTCCCCTATAAGAGCCTGAAGTAGAACTCACTGTTTTCTAGATCCCTGCTCATAAAGCACTGACATCCCCCGGCAATCAGGAAGGTGATACCTTAGCTCGTGTCACCCTTGAACTATAGGGACTCAAGTTAACTCAGTAACAGCATGTCCTGTGTGTTATAACCGATGCCAAAGGCGATTACCAAAGGAATCTGGTGTTCTCAACCAGGGAGGGATTGGCAAATTGATTCTATTGCCTCAGTCTCCCCGAGTGAAGGTTATACGTATACCCTGGTTTGTGTGGACACAGCACCTGGCCTAACCCAAGCTTTCTCTGTGAATGTGCAAACCAGGCTGCCACCGTTAGGGGGTTATAGAAGCTGAGTACCATGTATGGATACCCTCATCAGTAGACATGACGGGGTGGTCCCATTTCAAAGGTCATGATGTGCAAGACTGGGCAAAGTCATGATAGTGAATGGAGGCTCCAGCTCCCCTAGAGCCCCCCGAGTAGCAGGGTTGGTAGAAAGGAAATAAAAGGAGATGAAATTACTAACAGGTGAATCCATTTTGGCCAAGTAGACGAAAGTACTGTCCCAGACTTTAACACATTTGCATGATCAACCAATAAGTCCTAATTACCCCATATGCCAGACTGGGGACTCCTCCTAAGGCCCTCGATACTGTAAAGGTGTGGAAGTTGTGGAACCCAGCCATTGCCCCAACTCTCACCAAGATGAGCATGCTGTGCTGTTGAGAACACCAGACCCTGAGAAGGGCATTATCTACTGGGATTTGCAATGGTAAATTCTGCTGGGATGGGTGAGTTACTTCGCACTCGGATCCCATTGTCCTGCTACAAGCTAGACTTGTTGAAACATACTATACCTGCAATGGAATACGTACCATCAAGAGAGGGGGAGAGGATGGGGGTCCTGGTCAGGCATATCCCACCCCAGTCCATCTCACACCTGACAGTGCTGCCTCGCCTGGCCAACCTGGATGGTATTACGTGACCTGGTCCAATTCCTAAAACTGCAACCACCCTAACGTCTAAAGATCGGGCCTTGTCATTCTTGTAACAGAGGAACATCTCCCCATACAAGTTCCTACTAAATATCTGTTTGACCTGAGACTCTGCTGCTCCTTTGGTGTCCAGTTACACGATGGGCACCTGACAGAAATTCCTTTCTACGGTGGGCTCACCCCTATGTCCAACAAAGAAATCAATTCAACTGATGGCTATGTGGGAAGCTGCCCGTCTCCAGCTCCTCAGGATTGCCATGGTGAGAATCACCCCTCCAAGAAAAACACTGAGAGGCCCTAAAGCCGTACATTAAGGAAGAACAAATTAGGACTAGCATTCTTGGTTCATCTGATCTTACCAACACTGATCCAGAAACCTGGCCTGGGGCACACGGTACCAGTAACACTGGGCATGGGTCTTCTTTTCCTGTCTGTCAGACTACACAGGCAGCCCATTAACCTGCTCACTGGAAGGGTCCTAGAAATACCACCGTCGAGCCAGATTTGGGATGGGTTTATGGACATTTGAACACCCAGGCACCCCTACGTTGGGAGGAGAGAAAAGTCATTCGAAACAGAACACAACTCTACTGGGAATATAGGAGGGATGTCACTGGAACTGTGTGGTCAGTCACTCTGCCATATTAAAGGAGAATGACTAGTTTGGTAGTAACTGGTTGCACCACCCAGGTATTTATCGGGTAGTCCGAAAAGGGGCCTACTGGTTGCGTGGAACAAAATTTTGGCCGTGGTTCCCACCTGGGTGGTTGGACCACTGCACCCTGAGTTTTCCCTGGGCATAGGGGAGAGTTCCCCACACCCGTGGAAACAATACTTGCCAATTTCCCTCACCTCAAGGCTAGATGGACACGCTATGTTTTCACTGACACGGACTACAGCCGCTGTCTTTGTTTCCTCCATTGGCCCGGTGGATGTTATAGTACATATGGAAGCCCTTACTAAATTCACCCAGCAAGCATTAAATGATAACCAACAAACCTTGTCCTTACTGAATACTGCAATAGCTCTAGTGGGAAGAGCTGTCCTCCAAAATAGAATGGCTTTGGACATTATTTTTGCCTCAGAAAGAGGCACCTGTGCCATTATCCAAACAGAATGCTGCGTGTTCATACCTGATGAGTCTGCTTATGTATCACCTTTACTAAATCACATGAGAACTAAGTGAACACCGTGAGTGAGCCCACCCCCCAGACAGGGAATTTAATCAATCAGTGGTTCGGAGCCTGGGGTCCCCGGTGGGGAAAAAAAATTGTTTTGGAAATCATTACCTTAGTCTGTGTTTTCTTTTGCATGTGCCTACACTTTTACCGTGGTATCTGCCTCCCATGCAGACAGAAAGACACCAAATGGGCCACCTCCATGATAGCGAACCCCCTTGCTGACTGCTCAGGGGACAGCATAGAAGAGGGGGCTGTGTGACATTGTAAAAGCTGGTCAGGAGAGGTGGCATACTGGGGGGAAGTCATCAAGAGGCTGTGCCCACACGTTACCCAGGAGCTGGACCCTCAGAGACTTCTTGGCATGTACATCTTGCTGGCCTTGCTAGTGATGTGGTGCTGAGACCATGTGCGTGGTACTGATTGAATCCAGTTGACATATAGCAGGTGTGGAGATGTACTTGTCTTGCTGCTGCCCAGGACACGCCACATATGTAAGTTCCCTTGCTTATTTAAACTTGCCACCTGCCACCCTGGAGTGGCCCGCCTTTTTCTTGGGTCTCTCTCTGCCCTCCATGAAGGGGACCAGTTTCAGATTACACCTGGGATGCTCCTGAGGTTGCAAACTAACACTGCTGGGCGCCAGTTTCAATGCAGTTTCCAAGTACCGAAGAATCAGGAGACTTACCTGGAACCTCCAGAGCCCTCCAATGTCATCAGTCCTTTCAAAGCAGACTGGCTCCAGGCCTTCTTCCAGGCAGCACTTGATAGAGGAGAGCCCACTCACACCTCCCCCAATCACTGCAATGCTTTTCTTGGTCATGGTCTCCGGATATCTTTACCAGGCTAGACCAATGTAACGTGTCCAAAACAAACAAACAAACAAACAAACAAACAAACAAACAAACGACACAAAGCACACCTCAGTGAACACATTTCAGGGAAGAAAGATCTTGGCCATGGCATCCTCCCAATAAATGCTGCGACAACAGGTGCTTTAGGAGAAGCCAGATTCTGCTGTCTCCCGGGGCATAGGGAATTGCTGCGAAAGGGATATGGGAGCCCTGCGTCCACAAGACCTCCAGCTGAGAGCCCTGATGTGGCAGCCTAACTCACTGCCTTTCCTGTAGTGCCTGGGGAATCCTTCAGCTGCCATCCAGAGCCTGCACTGCACTTTTGGCTGTTGAGGAAGAAAGATAAACCAACAAAGTGCAAACAGCCAACAGCCAATGGGGAGTAATTATTCCTCTCCACCTCCTTCCAGCCAAAGCCCTGCAGCTCAGGGGCACTCACTCCCTCCTCCAGCGAGAATATTACGTGGGCCAAACCTGCTTTGAGCCGAAAATAAGTCCGACGACCTCTGTTTTGGATTGTAGTTGCCCGGAGGCTCAACCACTGTCTCTATAGAGACACAGCAACCCTGTGTTTCCATCCCAGCCCTCTCCACATCCACTTTTAACTTCCTTGTATCTGCCTTAAAGTGACAAACTCCTCCTGGTGAAAGAGAAACTAGCAACAACCTCAAAGCAAGTCTTGCTCTAAAAGCTTCAGTGGAGAACACCTACCTTTCAGGATGTGTTAAAACAGATCCCGGAGCCTCATCCCTCCTCACCACCCCACTCCCACTTCACAGATGGGCTCTTTGGTTCCAGGTTGCTGGTAGAAATTTACTTAAAATACCTGTGCACTAAACAGGCCGCTGCAGTTCAGTGAGAAATGGATCACGTTTCCCACCTAAAGGAGCTTCTACCTGGTTGGCTGAGTTGTTAGGCGTCTGCCTTTGGGGCAAATCAGCATCTCAAGATCCTGGGTTGCAGCCCTGCATTGGGCTTTCTGCTCAGTAGGGCAGTCCGCTCCTCCCCCCCGGCCCTGTGTGTGCTCTCTTTTACTCAAATAAGTAAATTTTTTTTTTTAAAAGTGTTTTCTCAGGGCACCTGGGTGGCTCAGCTGCTTAAGTGTGGGGTCTCCATTTTGGCTGGAGTCAGGATCTCAGGCCCGGGAGATTCAGCCCCGCCTAGGGCTCCGGTTTAGGGAGTTGCTTCTCTCCCTCTCCCTCTGCCCCTCCCTGCGCGCTGTCTTGCTCTCTTTCTCTCTCAAATCTTTTTTTTTAAGTGCTTTCTCTCACACAGTTACATCAGTAATTAAAAACATAAAATGTCCACTTTAAAAATGGAACTTAATTTTTTCAAATATAAGATCATGCAGAAGAGGCCAGTGTAACGGATGTAGGACATCACACACCGAGTCAGAATCAGGGCCCATCCAACCCACCAGTCTGTTTTGACATATGTGAGGAGTTTTTGGAGAACTAAGCAGTGGCTGATGCCATCTATTTGTTTACCTTCTACTTACTTCCTTAGCCAACTTGGCTCATGATGGTTTGATGTCAGTAATGTCAGTCCCGGGTTTCCAAAGTATCCTTCATGGGCCAGTAATGATCATTTCTCAAGGGCTCACCTTGTACCCTTCAAAAAACCGGATGGGAATGAACCCATGTAATCTCTCAGCAACCCAATGAGGCAAGTACTATCATCACCCCCATCCTCCCAGTAAGTGGAAAGGCAGGGATGCAAACCAGGCAGTTTAACTTATAAATGAGTTATTCGTAAACTGGATGATTTTGAATGCGCTAGAGATGCCTAGATACAAGAAAACAGGTGAATACTTTTCTAAATTGAATATTAACCTCTCCCTTACTGAATCAATTTCACAATTTCAGAACAATGCAAGAATCACTTTTAAAACTTAATATTGTAAAATGTAATTTTATTTTAATTCTCTACTACTTTTTGTTTTACAAGTAATTACTTTTAAATTTGGCAACTATGTTTTGTGTGGGGTTTTTTTAAAAGATTTTATTTATTTATTTGACAGAAAGAGAGAGAGAGCACAAGCAGGGGGAGAGGCAGGCAGAGGGAGAGGGAGAAGCAGGTCCCCGCTGAGCAGAATGAACTGGATGTGGGGCTCCACCGGGATCATGCCCCGAGCCAAGGCAGTCAGTTAACCAACTGAGCTACCCAGGCGCCCCTGTTTTGTGTTGTTTTTAAATTACTTGTAAAATGTTTTAAACCTTGACTCAAATTTCCTCATTTTGTCTAACTGCCATTTGCAAGTGAGTCAATTTCTTCACTGGGCTGTAACAATATATGCAAACTAATGGACAGGTTCAACACAATTACTCACTCATGCTATTAGGAAAGAGCAATAGCACAAATGACAGATACAATAGATAACAGTGAGTAATTCCAAGGTAATATATATGAGGCTTTTGGAGGAGAGTGTTTGTGTGTGTGCATGTGCGTACCTATGTAATTGTACAGAGGAGTTTCTGCAAAGGTCTAACCGAGGAGGAGCTTTTGAATAGTTTAGCGTCACTTCTACTCAGATGTTCTCCCATGTCCTAATTCTTTCTGTTAAGTCTGCATTTTGCATTTTACATTCATTCAATATTGTCCTTTGGAGGCCACTTCTTTTAAGACGGCAGCTATAAAAGATAGAAGGAGCTTAGCGTAGATCTTATTTGAAGAACTGCCAAGGAAAGCTGCTTGATTAGCACTGGACTGGGACATAACTTTTCACTTTCTTAATTGTGCCTTTTGATGAGAAGTTTTAAATATTGATGAAATCTATTTAACAGTTTTTCTTTTATGATTAGTACATTTTGCTCCTATTTAAGAAACCTTTGCACAGCCCAAGCTCATATAGCTTCCTGTGTTTCCAGCTAGAAGATTTATAACTTTAGATTTTAAATTTGGATCTATGATCCATTTTAAATTAATATGAATGAGACCATTCATATTAAGTGTAAAGGTCAAGGTGAATTTTTTTAAGAAAAATTAATAGCTTTATTTTTCCTCAATATACATTTAGAAAATAGGTCGAAGGAAAGGTTTCATGAAATAGACCAGAGGACTATATACAAAGTGGAGAGTTCCAAATCAGAGAGACCGAGTGCACG